TTTCAAGGTTTTAGTAATTAAGGTCTTCTAAACTAATTTATATAGATTGATCGAAACAAATAATTAATTAATTAATTAATCAATCCAATTACCAATTTACTTAATTAAATATCAAATTAGAGTCTAACTCCAATTTCACAATACTAGGATGAGTTTGTTTAATTAAAATCTTTTAATTAAATGTTAAATCAGCGTGCAACCCTAATTCCAATATACTAAGATGGACTCATTTAATTAAAATTAAATTTTAATTAAATATCAAATTAGAGTCCAACTCCAATTTTAGGATTATAGGGTGAATCTTATTTAATTAAAATTAAATTTTAATTAAATACTAAATTAGAGTCAAATTCTAATTTAATTGGATTAACATTTTAATTAAGGATAAAGATCCTAAATAAAATAAAATAAAATTTATCATCAAAATTTAATATTTGAATTAAAATCCAATTTTAAAGATAATATTGAAAGTCGTCAATTTCAAATAAAATTTTAATCGAGTCAAAATTAAAATATAGGTCAAACACATTTAAAACACAAATTTAAAACCTTTTCAAGTTTAAATTCAAAACCATTTTAAATTTGCAATCTAACCCCCAAGTTTAAAATTATAAACAGACCCTTCAACTAACTTAATTGCATGATAGGCCCTGCATTTGAAAATTGCAAACCGACCTTTAATATTTATTGGCCAGTAATTTCATAAATTGCATGACAATCCCCCACCCCCAATCGCTCTACCCCGTATTCAATACCCTAAAAGAAATCAGAGAGTGCTGCCCTTTGGCCGTTGCATATTACAATGGCTATAAGCACCCTTTGTTATAGCGGTGCTCATCGTTTCTATGCAGAGTGGTGCTGCATACGTGTGCATTAAGGTGATGTGTCGCACGTTGCATTGTGTGTGACCATGTTGTACCGTGCTTAACAGTGCAGCATCGTACGCTACCATTGTAGTTGCCGTCGCCTGTTGCTAATTTTCGATCCACTTTAAACAAAAATTAATTTTCTTTTCAAAAATATATTTGAATATGAAAAATAATTTTCTAAACCACTGGATTCAATAAAAATATAAACAATCAGCTTTTGAGTTTTAAAAAATGCAAAAGAGTTTTTGACACGCACAAAGCATGCTCTGATACCATTGTTAGGAATTCACTTAATCATGTACAACAACAAAATAAAATTCAATTCAATTCCCCACCAAGGATCTACTTTGTATTTTAGATAGGAACTGTGATTAGAATTATACATGTTGTTGAATTCTGCAAACTCTTTTTATTTATCTTGAACATGAACAAATACGATCTGCAATTCATAGTTGTCCAATTGTCCGACCTCCAATAGAAATTCACACAAAGAGCAAAAATGTGAGTATTAGGGTTTCTTTTTGCTTGTGCTAACAAGATAATGAATTAACTGTTGTCTTATTTCTCAAAACCTAAGAGCTTCTTAACCAGAATCTAAGTGGGCTTGGCCCATCACTTGCATGGTCCATTAACTAATTAATCTATCATTAATTTGGCCCATTAACACAATTAGTTAATTGTCTGATGTTTGTCAAATATTTAATTAGTATATTTCGTTTTTCGGCTTCTCCTTTTGCGTATGACCCATTAGGTTCTGATCACGATATCTAACTACGCGAATTGTTATTCTGATATAATCAAAATCGATAAATTAAAATACCTCCTTTTAATTTATCATTAATTCACATACCTCATCTTAGATCGACATCTAGCAATCTATCAGTACAATACATGTAATGAAAAACGTTGCGTGGTATGACAAAATCAAATATATTCGTTTACTATAAAACTATAATTCATCTGTCAATATGATTTGATCAATTATAAGATATGAAAGTCTGTCAATCTTGATTATCGATCATATCTTTTATCCCACTATTAAGTCAATGTAAGTCAAAAACTCTTTTTGACTTATGAGTACTCATTGCAAAAAAATAATCAACCAGTTATTTTGTCACAATGATTATTTCCATAAAAAAATTTGCAAGAGAAATAATTGTTGCAAAAATTATTTTAAAAGTATAACTTTTGTTACCAATTCTATTTTGCAATAGCACATGCTTGTAGTGATATATCTTTAATAACAAGTCATGTTTGTCGAGAAATATGATTTACAATGCTTTTAATATTTTGCATAAAATATTTTTTAGATATTCAACATTTGTATTGCAATACAACAAAGTTTAGTTTTTACCGAGTGCATTATATGCCGTAAATAATACTTTACGGCGTACAACAACATGCCGTATAAAGCAATACTGTAAAAAGTGATCTTTTTTTACGGCGTGCATAGTGTGCCGTAAACGGACGATGTGAAAAGCATCACACTTTTTATGGCGTGTAGTTGTACGTCGTATAGAGCGTTATATTCATGGCATCACAGGATGCCCAAATGCGCCGTAAATGAGCATTCACCTTTTACGGCATGTAGTTGTACGTCGTATAAAGTGTTAAATTCATGGCATCATGACATGCCTAAACACGCCGTAAATGACCGTTCACCTTTTACGGTGTGCAGTTGTACACCATATAAAGTGTTATTCTCATGGCATCACAGCATGCCCATACACGCCATAATAAGCATTCAATTTTTTTAAAAATCATTTATTTATTTTAATACCAGCAAACCTGTAATATTAACAAAATAAAATTACTCCATATATAATCAAGTTTTCTATTGTTTCAATAAAAAGAAATATTGACTACGGTTCAATAAAATTCATCTAAACAATTCTCAAAAAAATTTGACTACTATTGTATGCGCCAATCGCCATTCAACTAATAAGCCCGTGGATATTGAGGTTCCGTCATATAACAAAAAATTATTAAACCTATCAAAGTTCACTTCTTTAACCAACAATTTAGCTACCCCACAAAATATGGATCCCCTACACACCACGAAAAGAATAAGGATATAATTAATAAGCATCCAAATCAAAAATATATTAAACAACCCAATCTTCAATAGAGACCGAACATAAAGGTAAATGGAATTAAAATAGAAAAGAAGTTAAGCATACATTCTTGTGATTACAACGAATCCACTTCGATGTACCTACTTGGCCATGCAATTGTACTTCCTAATGTATCTTCCTGAATAAAAAGCTCACGCGTGGGACGATATAAGCTAACATTATCGATCACTTCATTAACCCAAACTCTACAACATTCATTACCAAGGGGACATGATGCACTAGATCATTTGGATTTGTTGATGCGATTTCACCTTTTGCAACAATATCAGCTTTCCCAATTAATGTTTGTAATTAAATTTATTTTTACAACATAGAAAGTGTATTTTTGGTGTTTGCTATATCCGATGCTATGTTGGAAAAAAATTAAATACAATAATCATTAACTACTGCAAAGAAAAGTTAAGACAATAAGCAAATAATATTGCAAAGTGTAATAAAAGCAGCGGATGAAGAATGTCGCAAAAACTTTAAAATGTGCATTTGAGACCTTGTGAAACGCGCATTGCACATTGCCATATCCTTATACACTACTACAATATTAGAGCCTACAACATATGGGTGAAAGTTGTGAAAAACATGTGCCAATGTTTTTTGTCTGTTGTAATATATAGTTTTTCTTGTAGGAATTTTTCTTCCATCTATAGAATTTTTAGTAATAAATATCCTTTGTCGCAAAAAGAAGACCCTATTGTATCAAAAAAACTTTGTTGTAAGAAATAAAAGCTTGCCACCATAAGTTTACCACCAAAAAATTTTTGGTACCTTGCTTCCCTCTCTCTTTTTCTTTTTTTTTTTTTTTTTTTTTTTTTTTTTTTGGAACAATCTTTACTATTTGTCGCTCCATCTAACATTTCACGAAAACTTTTTATGTTGCCCTATATTTTTGGTAGTTATTTTTTTCATATCAAAATATGCGACAAACTTTAAAAACATGTTGTGCTAAATCATTTATTGCGACAACTTTTCATATATCGCAAAATTTCTTGTTGCAAAATCATATTTTTGTTGTAGTGACACTTTGACCAAAGATTTAGTTATCAACTTAATTGAATGAAATGTAGATCATAATCTCTTACTATCTAAGAGTGACGAATCATTTATTGATCATTCACAACGTTCATATGATTTTTAACACGCATACTTGAATGATGCCATATTGGCAACTTTTGGCAGAGCAACATCCAACATCACCAAAGTATGACTATTCCATATAAGGTACTATGATGACCTTAAGTTGAAAGACCAATTTCCTTACTGGACACTAGAGATTAATCATTGATATTCAGATAGTTATTCATGTAGAATCTCTCCAGCGAGTCTCCAATATTTTGTTCTATAACATTTACGTGTTCATTTAAGTGTCAAACCACACTTTAGATTATGAGATTAACTACTTACTTCACAAGTAAAAAATGCTGCATGTAATAGTATATCCATAATAATGATATCCATATCTCATTATTATTTACGATCATGAATAGTTTAAGGTTAAGTCATATGTAATTTGTATCACACAATCATAACTCATTGTTATTAATAAGTTATTAAGATTCAAATCTACGGACTCTAATATTTAATTTATTAGAATATTAATTGAATAACAGATATGTCATGAATAAAATGCATCAATTATATGTCACAAATATTTATATTCAAAATTAATCGAATTTGGCCTAGCACTTAAATCTCTATGCTAGTTATGGACAGCGGAACCCATAACAGATATGTATGTGTGTATATACGCGCCCACAAAATAATACCCACCAAAATTTATGTCCGGACATTTGCTTAGAAATCAATTGCAGAAAATGACGTTGCACTGCAAGCTTTATTACTCTTGCCTTTCAACCCTAGTAACTTTCTTGGGCGTCCCTTCTCATCCTTTTCACAGTTATAAGTCACACAAAAGGAATCAACAAAACAGAAATAAGAAACAAAAGTTATTAATCTTAATCTCCACACAATTAGTGAAGAAAATGAAAGCACCAGAAAGTAGTAATTAAGGGCAACCTGTAATACAAACAGAAATAAGAAATTAAGTACTTTAATCTTTCTTTTTGACTGTTATGGAGTCGGTGATCGGCATCCTAGACGCAGTTCTAAATCAAGCTCTTCAATGGCTGAATCTTTGTCGCTCTGGTTAATCTGGTTACCTTGGTTTGTATTGTCATTGCTAATGGAGGCTGAAGGTTCTGTTTTGTTCGAGTACTCGTGACAAAGTAGCGATGAATTCATGCTATGCACTGCCCGGCTGGACATATCAATAGGTAGAGGATAATTAGGGGAGACTGAAACGAGATCAGGTGAATTTTGTGTAAATACACCATTAGGGTTAGTCAATGAATAGAAAAGGCAAAGTCCATTCGGTAAGAATTCTTGAGTTGGAACTAGAGAATTAGGAGATTTAGGAAAAGTATATGCAGAAGGAGGAGGAATTAGAAGTGGTTGTTGGTGAAGCCTAGCACGATCCTGTCGATGAACATTCATGTGACCACCTAGGGCTTGCGCGGATCGGAATTCCCTTCTACAAAAGTTGCAAGTGTATGAGCGCGGAGGCCAGGTGCATCCCATTTGGTTCCCAGAAGTGATGTCCTCCTCGAAGGCTCGCACTTCCCATGAATCGTCTTCATTTTCAACAGTCACCCGAACGGGCTGCGCCATTTTGTTATTACTGTTGTCGTTGTTCCACATCCCAAAACTCGCACTATTATGAGACTGAAGCTGATTCAAGGATAGAAACCCAAAACTCGTACTATTATCAGACTGAAGCTGATTCAAGGATAGAAACTGAAGCTCGGCAGCCATTATACTAGTAGTAACATTTAAGATAATAAGTTGATAAGAGATAATGTTGAACAAAGAAAGGTGAATAGAGAGGTTAAATAGAGAATGGGTGTCATCGGCTGATTGCAATGAAGACAAAAACCCTGGCACCGGATTTATCAACAAAAGTTTTACAAGTATGCACTTGGATTTTAGTACTGGAGATAGAGAGATTAACAATATAATAAGTACCCCACCCCACCCCTCTTGATTATATGGTAATGACTATGAAAAGTTACAGTCTGTTACATTGGCTTCAACGTCCATCCATGTCAATATCTTCTTATCTCTTTCTTGATCTAAGTAATATTATAAAGAGAGAAAGAATGAAGATTAGAGCTTGACAAAACTGTAACTAGGATAGAAATGAAGTTGATTACTAAGAAAAATACTATTTTTATATTGTCACCATGTACTGCCTCGATGTTAAAGTAGTACAGCATTTAGTTTAGTCGTTCACGGAAAAACACAGCACCTGTGTGCGGGATATATTATATATTTTTTCTAACTGTTCAATCACACAATGATACGTGTTAAAAAAAATTTGACTCTTTTGTACATTTAGCATGATTCTAGTCTTAGTGCGTGAATCAGCATTCCTACACTTATTGTTTAATTTGTTTTAATGACAGGTCCGATGAATGACGGAGTCCTATCTAAAGTTATATTTCTTCACTTTAATTGGTGTTCTCTGACAGCGATTAATTAGGATGATATCTACTACGAGTGACAAATTATTTTTTTTATTTTTTTATTTTGCTTAATAAACCTTAATTGTCTTCATTCAGTCAAGATAGCAAGACAGCCGTAAAGAATATCCTCGTTAAACTCTTCGGAGTCAATTTGATCCTTCCAAAAACGATGTATGTTGGACAAATTGTTGTCAAATTATCTCCTGGGCGATGATGTAAATCCGGATATAATTATCAGTCAATTTTGACAATATAACTTACCAATGGATCAACACTAAAATTAGAATGACCAGATCCGAGAAGTTAATTGGACCGTTTGAAACAATCAATTAAGTTGTGTTGCTCATGGGCCAATTATCCACCTACTTGGATGGCTAGTAATACTAGAGGTCCATTCTATAAACCATATAATTCCTATTGGGCCCATGATCCATTAACTAAACCTAATGGACTTACCTTGTTGGGCATTGGACTACTGATAAGAGTGCAAAATATCAAAATTTTCCCTCTTAATTATTACATTTGTGTTACTATTTGATACCAAAATGTACTCATTACACTTATGCTTTGATTCAGGTAGCATCTTGGTAGAAAAGTTGAAATTTAGAAGAAAAAAACGAAAAATAACCAAAATGGAAGAAAGTGAAAGTTCAAGGACCAAGTTTCAAATAATTCATAATGAGACGAGCGATGGAATGATGATTCAAGAAATCTAGGAGTCGACTGGGTGTAATTTAAAGTCAAAAGAAGTGAAATATGACCAAAATATCTTCACAAATCAACTCTTAATTGAAAGTTAAGCATCCGTTTTTAGCCTTATATTGGGACCTATTTTTGACATGGAAAACAATCGGTCTAGAATATGATGTCTGAATCAAAGTTGTATCCCTTTCAGTTATCTTTCCAATGCAACTTGAATCACCTCAATCAGACATCGGAGATAAAGCTATGGTCAAAATACTAAAAACTATCCGGCGGAGGAAATGGTGACAACCATGCGGTCGCATGGTTATAAAGCCATGCTGTCGCATGGCCGCCTTTCGAGAACTTTTGGGGCCATTTTGGTTGAACCATGTGGTCGCATGGATTATAACCATGCAGCCGCATGGGTATTTTTCGAGGGCGAAATCTCATATTCCTATTTTGATGTGGACATTTATGGAAACTTGTTTGACACACTTTTTAAGCCCTAATCTCGACCCAGAATACCATTCTTCTTCCTGTCCACATCAATTTTCTCTCACCTTAGGTGAAGAAACTCCATGAAAGGCTAGAAATCTTTGGTGAAGCAAGGGATAAACTCATCGGATTTGATGATTTCATATCTTTCATTCATGTAATTTAGTGCTTTATTGTCAGATAATTCTAATTTAGACTTTCTTTTCATGATTTTATTTATAGAGTTGGTTTAACCTTTACAAGATTTCTCATAGATTTAATCATGTTTCATCTATTGAGGAATTAAACTAAGTGTTGAATTTCAACTTCATACAATGTTGTTGGTGGATTATTTACTGCTTTATGCTTTATGTATAGGGTCGATTCTTAATCTTAGTCCAATAAACAAGTGTGGAATTATAGTATAGAAAGTCTAGAATATAAAATTACAATTGAAACTTAATTTATCCTTATTGTTAAATCCTCTGACTAGAGAGTTGGGATGAGAACTTCTAGCTGAGTAAAATGCATGAATGATTGATGTGATTGATCCAATCTGAAAGAGTGAATTCCAGCGCTTCACTATTTCACATATTGATGTTTAAACCTCATTTCAATTTGGTAAACTAGGTTTTCACGATCACAACGAAAACCCTAGCTTTTGATCCTTTGAACTATTTCCCCATCTCCTTGTGGATAAGACATCCCAAGGTTATACTACAACTATCGCATTATTCTTTGGGCGTAATCAAATTTTGACGTCGTTGCCGAGGAGACGGTACAAATACTTGAAGGATTCTCGAGCAAAAGGGTGAATTCGTTCATATTTTATCTTTGTAGTTTATTGTTTATTTTTAGTTATATTTTGTTATTTATCACATTTTTGTATTTTTGTGCTTTATGAACATGTATCGAGACGAGCGAGGTCGATTCATTACAAGACCTCAACTAGAGTTTGAATCACTTTCGATCCTTCTTTTCGATACTGAATCTGTTGGCACACACATTATATCACATAACACCATGACTGATAGTGAACATGAAGAGGCACCAACTAGGACTTTGCACGATTATCTCCGTCCCACACGCACATCACCGTCATGCATCATATTTCCATCTAATATGCCACATATGGACCTTGAACTGAGAATGATCCAACTTCTTCCCACCTTTCACGGTCTTGAAAATGAAAACTCATACGTGCATATTAGGGAATTTGAAGAGGTTGTTGTGACTTTTCACAATCAACGTGGTACAATGGATGCAGCAAGGCTTAAATTTTTCCCATTCTCTCTTAAAGAAATAGCAAAAAGCTAGCTATATTCATTAAGACCACGCTCAATTGGGACTTGGGCTGAAATGACTCAAGCATTCTTTGGCAAGTACTTTCCCCACCACAAAACAACTGCATTGAAAAAGCAAATATCTTCTTTTACTTAAAAGAAGAGTGAAACTTTATATCAAGCATGGGAAAGGTACAAAGAATTGTTAGCCCTCTGCCCCCACCATGGTTTTGAAAGTTGGCGCATTGTGAGTTATTTCTATGAGGGATTATTACCTAGGGAGCGTCAATTAGTTGAAATGATGTGTAATGAGAAATTTTTGCAAAAAGATCCGGACGAGACTATAGACTAGCTAGATGACTTAGTTGAAAAAGCCCATACCTAGACTAGACCTAGTGCTACTGAGAGTACTAATAGGTCACGACCCACTGGAAATCAAATCTCACTGGTATTTATCATCTTAGGGAGGAGAATGACCTTAGAGCCAAGGTAGATTCCCTCTCTAAAGAACTCAAAATCTTACGTGCTAGGGACTCAAAGCCTACATAGAATGCAACCCATGTTGAATCTTTAGGACCATATTTGTTTGTGGTGGAACTGATCATCCAGCTCAAGAGTGCGCTACCTACGCTGAGATGAGAGGAGTTAATGAGGAACACTGCAATGCCTTAGGCACATACCAAAAGCCTTATTCTCCCTTTTTTGAAACATACAATCCGAGATGGCGGAATCACCCTAATCTCAACTGGAAATCTGAAGGCCAGCTAAACAAAACTCACACCGTACCTCCATATCAGTCCACGTCCTCTAGAAACTCTTTAGAAGACACTCTACATGTATTTATAGAGGAATAGAGTAAGACTAACCAAAAGTTTGAGACTATGATCACCCAAATTGTTGAAGAAAACAAGGAAATAAAATATCATATGTCCAAACTAACTAATGTCTTAGCTGTAGGAGAGCATGAAAAATTCCCAGCACAAGCTCAACCGAACCCTAGGGGGCAACACATGACACAAACTTCAGGATCAGGAGAGACCAACTTGAAGGAAGTGAATGCTATAACCACTAGATCTGGAAAGGTCATAGAACCAATCCCCAAACTTAGGAAAAGTGAGAAGGATCCCAGTAGCATAGAAGAGAGCACCCCTAGTGAAGAGACGGTGAAAAACTCATATAGAGTGCCCTTTCCTCAAGCCCTCAAGTCGACCTCTAAATCTTCTAGTCAATACAATGAAATCCTAGAGCATCTCAAGCAAGTAAAAGTCAATCTACATCTCTTGCACGTGATTTTCCAGGTCCCCACATATGCTAAAGTCTTTAAGGACTTGTGTACTGTAAAACGGAAGCACCATGTCAAGAAAATTGTCTTCTTTACTGAACATGTGAGTGTCGTAGTTGAACAAAAAATCCTGCCAAATTATAAGGACCCTGGTTGTCCTACTGTTTCTTGTATCATAGGGAACCATAAGATTGCACAAGCTCTCCTCGACTTAGGGGCTAGTGTCAACATCATGTCTTATGCTATATATTCGGCATTAGGTCGAGGTGAGATCAAACCTACTACAATGGTCTTACAATTGGCTAATCGGTCCACAATATATCTAGAGGGGTAGTTGAGGATATGCTAGTATAGATTGACAAATTTTGTTAGCCTGTGAGTTTTTTGGTTTTGGATGTGAAAGTAGATGTGAATGTTAACTCCAAGATTCCCATTATTCTTGGTAGACCTTTTTTTGCTACAACTAACGCTCTTATCAATTGTAGGAATGGTTTGATAAAGCTATCTTTTGGGAACATGACCTTAGATGTCAACATCTTTCACATCATAAAACAGCCTGAGGAAGATGATGATTGTCATCAAACATACAGGATTGATACACTCGTTGAAGAGGAAGCACATGCGCTTATTGACCCCAACCCTTTAAATTCTTTCTTTTTAAATTCTGAAATTCCCGCAAGGGATGATATTGGGGAATATGTTGATATTGATGCTGCTTTTAATGATTTATAGGATTATGGGATACCACCGGTGACTACTTCCAATGAGTTTGGTGCAATGCGCCAAAGGTTGACAATGCCTTGGCTGGATACAAGCTAAAGAAGGTAATATTGGGTCGAGCCAATGACAATAAACAAAGGCGATGCTTGGGATGCAACCCAAGGAGAGTTTGCTCCCTTCTCTTTCTTTTTATTTTAATTTATGCATTCTCTCTAGGTTTAGTCCATATATTATTTATTGCATTCATTTTATTTTCATTTTCTGCGTCACCCTTTCCATTGAAAACTTTCAAACTTCTTATACTTCAGCTAATGTGATTCACTTCGGCACTCAGGTGACATCTTTCCTTACCTTTATTTAGCAGACATGTTTTTGCATTGAGGAAAATGCAATGTTTAGCTGGGGGGAGAGTTTAACTTAAATTTTGTTGTGAGTTGCATGATTTACATGGAAATTCGATCTAATTTTTTTTTTTTTTTTGGTCCCTAATTCACTACATGTTCTTGACTGAATATGCCACTAGGAATTAAAGTTGTTTATGAAAGTTTGGATGTTGAGACATTTGTTGAATCTTTTTGCGCATACAAGCCTTGTGGTAAGATAGTGGTTTTAACACATGTAGCTAGAGTAATTTCTTGCTGAAGTTTTCTTGTGAGAATTAGTGAGGATCGAGAGTCACCATAAACTAAAAAAAGCAATAAGCATTCATTGGTTTTGTGAATTGGAAACTCTTTTGAGAACATATGATTTGTGGTAAGATGGTTGATTACTTGAAAAATGATGAAGGTCAATTAAGGATTAACATATAAGCCTTTCACGCCTTCTTTTTCAATAATTACAACCCTTAGAAGCCATGTTGAGCCATACACACATATATAGTCTTTTCTTCAGACACCCATATTATACATACTCCTCTATATTGGAAAGTAGCCTATACATGTATTTTTCCACATTTTTACTTCCAAGTGTGTAGCAGGTATTAAATGTTTATTTATGAAGAATAGAAGCAAGAGAATGGCAAGAGTTAGTATGTGTACAAGCAAGGCAGATCAAAAAAAAGAAAAAAAGGGGAAAAGAAGAAAATATTGATTGATTTTGAGAATTGAAATATGGAAGAATGCATTCATTAAAAAGTGTGAACTATTGAAATGTGTGATAATATACTTAGCTATGCACTTGGAAGTGTCTAGATCTTTATATCCCTTTTTTCATATAATCCAACCTACGCCGCATTACAAACCTTTTACATTGACTGTTTTGATCCTAAGTATGATTGTGGTAAGAAAGTGATGAATTCTCATTTGACAGTATGTCTATCATAAGATCAATGTTCGCTTGTTGTTCATTCATAAACATTTAAGCCTCTGAATTCTGTGTATCCCTTTCTCAGCTCCATGAGAGAAAATCGCACTAAACACTTTGATACCCTTGAGTCGTGGAGTTGAACCTTCAGCTCGAGACATACTTGATGTTGCATATGTTAGGTTTGGTGGTAAGATGGCTATGGCTTGATACACACTCACACATTTGACAAGTGTTTTTGATATCTTGACGATCATGGCATTGCTAAATTCTTGTGGTGTTGAGTTTGAAGAGGACATGGCATGTGGCTAAATTAAAACTTAATAATTTCTTTGTATTATGGACTAATCACTCATTTGCTCATTTTGCATTAAATTACTAGGGACTAGCAATAAGCAAGTCGGGGGGTGTGATAAGAGTGCAAAATATCATAATTTTCCCTCTTAATTATTGCATTCGTGTTACTATTTGATATCAAAATGCACTCATTATACTTATGCTTTGAGTCAGGTAGCATCTTGGTAGCAAAGTTGAAATTCAAAAGAAAAAAACGAAAAATGACCAAAATGGAAGAAAGTGAAAGTTTAGGGACCAAGTTGCAAACAATCCATCATGAGACGGGCGATGGAATGATGATTCAAGAAATCTAGGAGTCAATTGGGTGTAATTTGAGTCAAAAGAAGTGAAATATGACCAAAACATCTTCACAAATCAATTCTCAATTAAAAAAGTTATGCATCGATTTTCAGTCTTATATTGGGACCTATTTTTGACATGAAAAACGATCGATCTAGAAGATGATGTCTGAATCAAAGTTGTAACTCTTTGAGTTATCTTTCCAAATCATCAATTGTACATCAGGAGAGAAAGTTATGGTCAAAATACTAAAAACTGTCCGGCGGAGGAAATGGTGACAACCATGGGGTCGCATGGCTGTCTTCTGAGAACTTCTGGGGCCATTTTGGTTGAACCATGCGATCGCATGAATTATAACCATGTGGCAGCATGGGTATTTTTCAAGGGTGAAATCTCATATACTTATTTTGACGCGGACACTTATGGAAACTTGTTTGGCCCACGTTTTTAAGCCCTAATCTCGACCCAGGACGCCATTCTTCTTACTCTCCACATCAATTTTCTCTCATCTTGGGTGAAAAAACTCCATGGAAGCTAGAAATCTTTGGTTAAGCAAGGGATAAACTCATCTGATTTGGTGATTTCATATCTTTTATTCATGTAATTTAGTGCTTTATTGTCAAATAATTCTAGTTTAGACTTTCTTTTTATGATTTTATTTATGAAGTTGGTTTAAACTTTACAAGATTTCTCATAAATTTAATCATGTTTCTTCTATTGTGGAATTAAACTAAGTGTTGAATTTCAACTTCATACAATGTTGTTGGTGGATTATTTACTGCTTTGTACTTTACGTATATGGTCGATTCTTAATCTTAGTCCAATAAACAAGTATGGAATTATAGTATAGAAAGTCTGGAGTATAGAATTACAATTGAAAATTAATTTATCCTTATTATTAAATCCTCCGATTAGAGAGTTGAGATGAGAACTTCTAGCTGAGTAAAATGCATGAATGATTGATGTGATTGATCCAATCCGAAAGAGTGAATTCCAACGCTTCACTATTTCACACATTGATGTTTAAACCTCATTTCAATTTGGTAAACTACGTTTTCACGATCACAACGAAAACCCTAGCTTTTGAAACTTTAAACTATTTCCCCATCTCCTTGTGGATACGACACCCCAAGGCTATACTACAACTACCGCATTATTCTTTGGGCGTAATCAACTACCTATATATTCTTGTGCTATACACAGCCTCACAAGACTTGTCTCCATCTTGAGCATTCATCATGTTTTTCTTCTGTCGGTTCTCTCTGCCTCTTTCCACAATGCCTTTGTGGTGATTTCTTAATGGTTTTGCCTCTCCTTTATGGTGGTCTCTAAGTGAGATAACATCTAGCAAAAGCAGGTGGAAGCTTAGTGGTGTTCTTGGATCGTTTGATTGGTGTTGTTGATTTTGGTTTTGGTAAACTGAGCCTGTAAAGCCTTGGTGGCTGATAATTGAAGACTCTACAATTGGTATCAGAGTCTGGGTGGTGGAGATTTAGCTAAAATCCTATCAAAATCGAGAGAGATGGCCAATTTCTTCAAACTGGCCGAACCTAAAATCTTCAATTACTCTCAAACGAAACCTCTGTTGGAGAAACGGAGGCCATACTCATGATCTGCAGGCTGAGATGCCCCCTATGAGGTGGCCTGTGGCAGCGACTGATGATCAACAACACATGGGGTGCCGTGGCAACGCATAGGGAACTTTTTTGAAGAGAATCTTTCAGGCATTTCACTTATTTTAACCTCCTGAATGTACTAATGTGGTTTTTTAGTGTTTCAGGTTACGCAGGAATATTTGGATGATTTTGCCCCTGGATATCAATTCGTGTTTGTGGCTGATTGGCACTAATATATTTGCTAAATCTTTAGGGCAAATAGTGCTCTAAAGCGGCAAATTCGCATCTCTCGACTTTACGGACTCAAATAGGTCCGCTCTAGTAAATTGGCTTAACCCATTTAATTTCTAGTACTAGTGAGTCACTGCGTGGGGTGACAATAGGATTGTGCTTACCATGAAGGGGTAACATTGCCTGTGCTAGAAATTAAGATTACATGACCTTAACTGCTTGATTGAGTACTTGTCTTTTAGTTAAATTAGCGTATTGTTCTTAGTATTATAATTGCCATAAAACCTGGTAATTGTTAAACATATTCATTTTTGTTGCATTGTCATTTTCCCTGCTTATTAATTTCGTTAGAATACTAAGACCTTACTCGTTCGAACATTTTCTAAATCTAAGACCACGAGTCTTACGAAACCTTGAGAATTTAGAATGGAGTATATTGTATGTAAACCTAGGACTACTTTTTGTGATTTGACTGTGCTTTATGCATTTTTTGACTATTCTGTGAAAATGAAAACTCACAACTTTGATTTGGGGATTTTAAACAAAAAAAGGTGATTTTTCATTCTGGCAACAAAAAACGAAGGGTATTTTGGTCTAATAAAAAGTTTCAAAAGTCATTGAAGGCACTTTCCCAACTGATTTTTCAAAAGAGCAAAAAAAAGAATCCGATAAGTTTGCTTATACCTCAATTAGTTTATACTTGTCTGACGTCGTTTTGAGAAAAGTGGATAAACTGAAAATCATTAAAGAACTTTGGAAAAAAAATGGAAAATTTGTATTTTCTTAAATCTACACTGAACAAACTTTACTTGCTTGAACGTTTTTTCAGTTTTAAAATGAATCCTTAAAAGATCTTGATGACAATTTAGATGTATTTAACAAGTTGATGCAAGATATTGTTAACTGTGACGAGGCTATGTCTAAACCTATAAGGTCATAATCTTGCTCAATTCTAATCCTGACTCATATAAGGAAGTTAAAAACGTCATTAAGTATGGTAGGGACACATTGACGCCTGAAATTATCATTGATTCTCTTAGAAGTAAAGAGATGGAAATTAGGGAAGAATAATATGATAAGAGAAGCGTTGAGTTACATATGATACGGGATCGAACTCAGTTTAGGCAAAACAGTCATGATAGATATCAAAGTAGTGACGAGTCAAGTAGTAATGGATGGAAGAAGAAGGAAAATGATAGGTCTAGATCAAAATCTAGAACGAAGGCT